CATTTGACAAATTTTCGCGGGCAGGTGTATTTAAAAGGTATCTAGAGAAACAACTCTTTTGGTACCCTACTGCATGTAACGTAGAGTGATATATTTTTGCATGCGGGCCGGACACGCTAATGAGAGTACAAATTTAAACTGTGACAAAGTGGAATAAGGGGAAGTGCGAAGGAAGGTGGGGGGCTCTTCTCCCCCTTCATTCTGCTTCCTCATCCCCTTCATCACCAGTTTCATCTGATTCGACGGGCTCATCCTTGTTCTGGTTTTCCGTTTCGTCCGTCCCTTTCTCAGACCTAGGGGTAAAAGCGAGGAAACTCGAAGTGGACACACTGTTGAAAAGACGTTTCCACAGTACTGACCCACTATTTGCACTGCCTAATTTTGGAAGAAATGTACACAGGGGAATATAAAGATAAATACATGCACAGAGATGCATATGTATTTTCCTTTGGTTACCGGTTCTTTTGAACCTCGTCGACGCTTTTGCCGTTGATTTTTACTTGCGGGCTTCCGAATTTACTTTTGGCAATTCGCAGTTTTAGTCCTTTTGGTTCAGTTTCCTGTTCTTCATCGAATTCTTCGTTGACGATTTTTTTCTTAGCTAGGTTTTGTTCCTTCTGTTGGGTATTTGCTTTCTTTTTTAGTGATTCGTTTGGTTCGCCCGCTTGCTCTATATCTCCCTCTTCATCCTTTTCATCCTCTTCACCCTCCTTCTCATTTTTCTCTTCCTCTTTGTCATTGCCTCCCTGGGCATAGTTATATTCAGGTAGTTTTCCCCTATTTTTTGTCATTTTACACAAAACCGCATCAGTTATAGAGTTGACCCAGAAGTTCCTCAGGACTTTACTAGCCAAACACAGAATGGTAGAATCATCCTTTTTTTTCCCTTGTCGTATGTTAATGCATTTGCTGGATAATGTTTCTATTGGAAGAAGTATATCCTTTATGTTTATTTCTTTTTCCTTTATATTTCCTAATCTTAAAATTAGCTTATTAGAAACTATGGACCCTTCAATGATTAGCTTTCCCTCTTTATCCGTTTTGTCTAATATTAACCCTGCCAAATGCTTAAGGGACTGACCGCAATATTTTCTATCGGCAAAACTTTTCGCGTCGTCTAAATTTCTGTATTCATTTTTTGAAAGCTTTAAAAGTTCCTTTGTCCATTTATCCAGATTTTTGTTAAAGAATACGGGGGTACATCTACTCAGGAGGACGTTAAGTAGAAGGATGGGAAGGCTCCATTTTATCGAATGCATGGTTGGCTTGGTTGGTAAAAAGAAGGGGAGCAGACAGTGTGGGTAATATGACAAAAGTGGCGTATGGCTTGTGAGATGTGGCGTCAGAGATACAACTCGTCGACAGGTGCAAAGAAGTTTACAGACACTGCACGAATTTACTAATGCTTAGCTATTCAGAGATGATTTGTATGGTAACTTTTTAACAAGGAGGAAATTTCAACCAATTTTGGTAAGAGCAATTTAGTGGATGAAATGGGAGGAAACCCTTATAATGTTCGTTTAATTGTGTGGGAGTTTTTTATTTTATTATATTTTTCTTTTGTCCCTTAATTCTAGGTTATGCAAAATAGGGGGAGGGGTATTCATTTGTGTGTACGTACATGGCTGTCCCCAGGTGGAAGAAAAAAACTTCACGAGGAGGGTAGACATAAAATGGTACCATGGGACATGTAGTAACGTGAAATCATGTGTGGAAGCGAAGACTTATTTTTGTGATTAAGCAGTGGAGCGAACATAAGGCAGTACGTTTTCTTGCGTCCAGTCAATAACCACAAAACGCGCTGCAATACGAGCTGAAAAGCGGGTTGCAAAAGGAATGCAAATTTTACAACATTGTGCTGGGGTAGCCGACCCACATGTGCATTTCTTCTCACAGGGACCAAAAAAAGGCGTATTCACATGCGTACCACTAACTGTGCTTCCCGATATTTAATATCATTTCCTAGGTCAGCACTTTCCCGAAAAACGTTGCGCACTCTGGTGCGGTTTTCAATTTTAAGTCTACGTTGGCCAGGAACTTATACGCCGCTTAAATGGAAAATGCGCTGTGGACGATATGCCCCTAAAACAGTGTGCCGTAACTATCCCTTTCACGATACAGGGTGAGGGCCGTCTAATCGGTTCTACTCCCATTTTGGAACAATATTTACGGTTAAAAAATTTTGTTCATTAGATGAGGGATTGAAGCCATGTAACCCTTAGCAATGGCGCAATAGGTACTACTCGAATGGGCGTGGAACTGGCCATGAGGGTTCCCCTTCGCACTCTTTACATCCACTGTGGAGCCTTTCTTGTATTCACATTTTTCTCCTGCTGTTTCGATGGACTCACCACAATTTGCCCATATAACGTAGAAAAGGAAAATCAGGGAGGGCCTATCCACCTAGATTTTTATCTTTAAAAGTTTTTGAATATACATAAAAAAACACTGCCACATGTCAATTGACCGAATTGCGCTTTTCAAAATGGCTAAAACGGTGCAGTGGTTTAAATGTGATGAAAAAGGGAAAAAAAAATTGCTGAGAAAAGGGTTACCACTCTTTTTAAGCCATAAATATGATAACTATTAAATGTGTTCTTTTTTTTTTTTTTTTTTTTCTTCCTTAATTTAACCGTAATTATTAGATGGGAGTGCCCACCAACCGCATCGATCGTTCTGCATATCTCATACATGCGTTCCGCACGAAGAGCAAGCATATGCCTTATATGCTTACCTGGGCAATTTTCTTTGCCAGGCTTCCAATTTTTTGCCTTCGCTTATGTTTCTGCCGCAAGTACGCTTAACATTTATTATACACCAGATGTGCATTTTTCTTTATTGCTACGTAATTTGTGCCTTTCCATGTTCTGCGACCAAGCAAGCTGCCCCTTCAACTTTTTGAAGTTAAAAATATTACGTCAGAGAAGAGTGTTACATCGCGTAAGTGAATAGATGACTGGGCATTCCACTGAGATGATAATTAGTGAACGCGGCGTTTTGCATGCCAAAGTGCGTACCTATATGTTAAAAGCGGTACAGCCATTCAAATCAGTACTTATGCGGGCATACCTTATCTAGTCACACCTTATGCAGTACGTTCGTAGCCACGCGCGTGCTTGAAAGTAGGTTTATACGTGCGCGGTCATTATCTGTTTATAATATGATGGTTAACCCATGTGTAATTTTCCTCTATACGGTTGGCCCTCCTTTACACTCTTCTTCCCCCCTATGCTAACTCAGTGGGAAAACTCGCGACGACCTATGCATCTGCCATATCACCTTCCACAGAACCGCTGAACAGAAAAATGATGTAACTAATTTATTTGTATATCCTTCTCCCTTTAACATTTCAAATTTTAAGAGCTCATCCTGAATTTCTAACGTTGCCGCAACCGTTGCTACCCATTGGAAGGGTTCACACCAAAGGGCGTAGGTGTTCTCTTATTCCTTTTTGTTTTCATTCGTAAGACTCCTTGGGGAAGGCACCCGGCATAGCAATTTGAAAGGTAGGAGGCTGAGAAGAAAAACAAGGAAGAATACAAAACAGGGAGAGTTTGCACATAACAGAAAGGGTAAGAGGGACAAACTGGCGATATATGTGACATATAGGCGGAGAGAATTCTACAGTAAAGCAAAAGCTAAATGAATATATAAGATGCTTGGATTCACGGGATCATGTCTGTCCAAGGAGTTTTTCGACTTAGCAAAATCGATTGGGGAGGCCCGTTCGAAGCAGGTAAGCTGTGACGTTCCAGCTGTGAGGAGGTTTTGTCCATTGGGGACGCTCACCTGCACACGTAGCACATATATATATATATATAGACATACACATGCACTCATCTGCTTGGTTCCTTTTTTTTCTCGCGAAGGAGGAAGACAGAATCATATGCAATGAAATCGTTTTGCTCAAGTCAAGGTTTGCCGATCCAAATGCGTCAGTAGTAGGTTTCCGTGCGAACACGTGGAGGGATTAAACAATGTGAAAAGATGCATGAAGCCTATGGTCGTTGTGTCAACTCCCACCGGAGAGAGTTGTGCCGTTTGCTCCTTCATAGAGATAGCTATCGAGAGATGCACCTGCGCGAGGATACCCGATGCACCTTCGTCTGGATACTCATGCACCTTTGTGTAGATACTCGATGCACACCTTGTTCTTTTTCTTCCCCCCTCAGAAACAGATAAAGGAATATCTGATCAGGGCGATTTACATCGAAATGCTGGGGCATGACGCCTCCTTCGCATACATCCACGCAGTTAAGCTGGCGCACGAGAAGAACATTTTATGCAAGAGGACGGGCTACTTGTCATGCAATTTGTTCCTAAATAAAGACCATGAATTAATGTTACTTCTAATTAACACAATACAGAAGGATTTAAAAAGCGACAACCATTTGGAAATCTGGGCAGCCCTAAATTGTGTGTGTAAATTACTAAACAGTGAAATGATCCCAGCGATATTCCCAATTATAAAAAATTTATTAAATCATAAAAACGAATTGATAAGAAAAAAAGTTTGTATGTTGTTACATAAAATGTATTTAATAGATCCATCCTTAATAAAAGAAATTGACATTTTTTTGAAGAAACTATTGTGCGATGTGGACCCATCCGTCATGGGTGCGTCATTAAATTTGATCTTTTGCATTGCCAAGAATGACATTACTTATTGTATAAAGTTAGTGCCATACTTAGTTTCTATTCTCAAGCAGATATGTGAAAATAAGTTGCCCAAGGATTATGATTACCATAGAATCCCTGCTCCGTGGATTCAAATTAAAATACTAGCCATTTTTAGAGTTCTCGGATACTCAAATAAGAAGATATCAGAACAGATGTACGAAGTGTTACAGAAGACGATGCAGAGAGCTGACTTTGGCATAAACGTTGGTTATGCTATTATATACGAGTGTGTAAAAACTATTGCTACTATATACCCATCTCATCATTTGCTAGAATTGGCATCTCTTTCCATATCAAGATTTATCTCCTCAGATAATCATAATTTGAAGTACGTTGGAGTTACGGGACTAGCTCTGATTGTGAAGATTAACCCTATGTATGCATCCAAGCACCAGCTAGCTGTGGTAGACTGCTTAGAAGACAAAGACGAAACGTTAAAAATGAAAACGTTGGATTTGTTGTACCAAATGACTAACCCTCTAAATGTTAAAGTAATTGTGGATAAACTTTTATTTCATGTGGAGAATTCGCTAGACATTCATTTTAAGCATGACTTGGCATGCAAAATTATTCAGTTAATTGAAAGGTACACTCCAGACGACATTTGGTTTTTAAATACCATCAACTCTTTGTTTTTGTCCGTCGGTGAATTACTCGATGAGAGTTATTCGTACTCCCTTATTAAGCTCTTGAAGGACAGCTCCATGTGCCTGGATTCCGACTCCGGTGACGATTTGATTCGCAGCGAAGTGAATGAGGAGGTTAGTAGTGGGGATGGCCATCACCGCAACCGCGACAAGAGTAATAATGTAGCTTACGCAAATCAAGGGGAAAGTGCAAATGCGGCTTATTTAAACAGTGCAGAGATGGGCAGTAGGGGAGAGTTCCCGAGGGAGACCGAGCCCCAAGGCGAAGAAGAAGGAGTTAGGAGCCACCCATATGATAAACCCAATTGTGGAAATTATGACTTAGGACAAAATGATGTAAGTATGGCACTTGATGACAGTGAAAAGGTACTCATGGGGGGGGTGATGACCCGGGATGGAAATATGGACGGATTTACAAAAGATAACAGCCATACTGGTGAAAACAACATTAGGGAAGCATCCAATCGAAAAAACGATCAAAATGGTCAGAACGATCAAAAGGATCAGAAGGATCAGGACGAATTAAAAAAAAAAACAAAAATAAACGATGATGTATACAATTTGAGGAAGTATGCCGTGAACACCTACATAACCATGCTGGAAAATAACGAAAACATTCCCTTCATTTTGATGCAAATTATTTGCTGGGTGTTAGGAGAGTATAGCTACCTGTGCGATATAGAAAATTACACCACTGAAGATATCATTGATTTGCTATGTGAGTGTCTGGAGAAAACTTTTAACAATCCAGATAGAGTCAAGTCCTGCATAATTACAGCGATTTTTAAACTGTGCTGCTTCAACAATGTAACCGACCATGTCGTTGCTAAGAAGTTAATCGAGAAATACAAAAACAGCAGACTCACAGACATGCAACAGAGGTGTTACGAATACAGCTCCATTTTAAATAACCCCACCTTAATCAAAAATGTATTCTCAATATCGAGTAAGCAGAAAATCGTCATTGATGAAAATCTGTCCTTTTTAAATCCCCTCGTGGATAAACATTTGGCAAGTGGAGGGAAGGCTTACATAACGAAGGAGTTAAGGCAAACTGAGACTAATTTCGAATCAGCTAAGAACAGCGTCCCCGTGCTCAATTTCACACCATATGAATTACCAATCAATAACAGAATACACATTGATACCCTCCACACATCCAACAGCGATTCTGCGTATGAAAGGAGTTACAAGTATGACACACAAGCGCATGTTTCGCTGGAGGATAAAACTTCTAACCCCAAAGAGAGGGAAAGAACATTTAAGCTTAATGTGGTGGGCCCCAAAAAATGGACAAAAGAAACGTGCAAAATTGAAGGAAAGAAGAATAATGAGAAAAATAGCCACAAAAATGGAAGGAAAAAGAAGAAGAAAAAAAGAGACAAGCAACCAATCTATCAGTTGAAAGGTAGCCGTGAAAATGTGAACAGAACTAAAGTAGGAAAAAAGGATGGGCAAAAAAGGCTTCCAAAATTTGGCAACACGCGGGGAGGAATTCAACAAGAAGAGGAGGAAGAGGAGAAGGTGCAACAAAACAATGATGAACTTTTTTATGATAGCAGATATGGTGGACAGGGAAGAACAGAGATGGGCGAAGAAGACGACGAGGACGAAGAAGAGGACGAGGATGAAGACGAAGAAGTGGAAAATGAAGGAAGCTATGACGACAATGACCAACCAGGGAATGACGGAAGAGAGAATGAAAAAAGAATGGATGACTTAGGAGACTACTACGATCAGAATTACGAAAGGTTTGACGAGAGAGATATACACAAGTTAAGGGATTACAAGCAGCACCGTGAAAACAGCAACAATAATAATAACAGCTCTTTTTACAAACAACGGAGCTCCCATTCGAACAGCAATGCAACCGAAACACATAACGAGCTAACAGAGAAGGAAAAAATGGCGGCTGCTCTTTTTAATGGTCTAATATCAAACAATTCTTCAGTTGACTATTCGAGAAATAATTACTCTTCCAGTTTTTCAAGTAAAAAAAGCCACTTATTATTGTCCAATAGGAATTATTTTAACTCCAAATCTGATGAGAGGAGCACTGATGAGAGGGGAAAGCACTTTGTTGAGGGAAGAAATTCAAGAAAATTCCAAAGAGAGCCTGCTGCATCGAGCAGTCAAGAAATGGAAAAGAAAAACTCTTCGTTGAACCTTTTGGGAAACTATTCAAACAAATTGGACGAAATGAGAAAATCCAATTGTGCATTTGATATGATAGATTTGAACGAACCTTCTGCCAAAAGGGACTTTATGGAGGAAGAAGAGGAAGATAGGAGCTGTAAAGAGGAGGTACTTTCGAAACACCTTTTAATTGAGCCCACAGGCACTACGTTAAAAGCGGGGAGTCATATGAAGAGAGAGAAAGGGCAAAGAAAAAAGCGCCGCTTTTTTTCATCACATGTTGTGCTCATTTTCCTCAACCATCATATTTAGAAAGCGAGTTGAAAAAATAGTCCTTTCCCTCGTGCTGCTGAATTTCAACGCGCTTCGTCATTACGCAGTGGTCTTTTTGTTTTTACGAAAATTTGTGCTATTTTACTGCGTATTGTGCCCCTCCTATTTTTGCGTCATTTTAATTTTTTTCCAGGACAAAAATCTGTGGAACAGCATCAGCAGTCAGAAGAAGGCCGTTTTTTTAAACACGACAACGTTAAACATATTTCAGATAATTAAAAAAATTGAGGTAGGGCGTTTTGCCACCGAGGTCAAAGAGGACTTCGCCGCTTTTGCTTCGTAGTCGCTTTGCAGTCGCGTGGCACAGTTGGGCAGTTTGCATACATGTCTCTTTTAATCTCTTCTGTTTTTCTTTTTTTTTTAATTTCCACCCTGCCCGATATTTATGCATCACATATTGGCGTCACATTTTGATGGCACACATTTTCTTCACATTTTTTCACCCTCTTGCAGAACAACCTAAACGCCAACGTCGTGGAAGTCAGCAAAAAGGAAGCCTTAACTTCCTGCATTTATAGCAGCAAAAAAGTGTTGATAAAAATCAAAATAGAGGAAAACAAATTGGTTTTTTTAGTTAAGTCCGCGGAAATTAGGTAAGACACAACCTGAAGCGTAACGCTATCACTAAGGAGTCTTTGCATATGTATATGTTTGATGTGTTTTTTTTTTTTTTTTTCACCGCATGGATAATTATTTTTTGCCTTTGAACAGTGAGACGGTTAAAAGCTACTCAATTTTGATATTATTATTTTTTTGTTTTTTTTTCCTCCCCCTCCTTCAGCATAATTGACAGCGTCTTTGACATTCTGAGAAATTTGTTTCACGTATGAGTTTTTGTCATACATATTCGTGGACATGTAGGAATACAGGAGTGTACTAGTGTACGCGTATGTGTGTGTATGCATGTAGGATAAACTTGTACGCATTTTTGTTTATTCCCCTGTTGTACGAGTTTTTTTTTCTGTCCTTTTTCTTTTTTTTTTTTTGTTAAATTATTGAGGGGCATCAGCATCTTATATGTGCGCATTTGTTTTAGTGAGATGTGTTTATGCTGTTTTACCTCCTGTGATAAGCGAAGCATTTTCGTACACAAGAAGTGCGCTTCGGGTGTGTAACTGAGCCTCCCTTTGGTGACCACCTACACTTAGCAAATACGCACATATATGCATACAATATGCGAGTTTCTTTTTAAAACGAACCGAACCCAGTGAACATTTTTTTAATTTACCAGCTCTAATTTTTTCAAGAAAAAGAACAGCTCCGAGTAAAACGACGCAAAGAAGCGAGTAAAAATAAAGGTGAAAAAATGAAAAACTGCTTGTTGGACTTATCACCTCAGGGGTGACGTTCACCCATTCGTTCACCGGTGAAATGTGTTCATTTCTGTAAAAAAAATTGTACGTGCGATCTACACAGAAAATAGGGTATCCACTTAGGCAAAGTGAATAACACGTTAGCATAACTTACAAATGGGTAGGTTCAAAAATAGCATCGCTAGAGGATTCCCTTTGGTTCATTTTACGCAGAAAAATACCTCGAAATATGCCACATTTGTGAGTACATTTCGTACATTGTACATTTTGGTTTCTCCGCTTTCATTTTTTCCCCTCAATAATTTTCGGAAATCAATTTTGTACATCTGATATTTGCATCTAGCTATATGCATGGACACAATTTCAGGAGGGCGCACAGCATACCTTTTCGTGAATTAAAAAGAGTATAAAATATACACGTGATCAGGGTGATTTTTTTTTTTTAATTCCCCATTTAAGGAACCTCTTTTTCTTTTCTTAAATTAAAAGCTCGAAGTTCCAATCCCTTTTCACTTAAAAGTGCGAAAAAAAAAGAAAAAAAGGCTGAAAGGTTAAAAAGTTAAGCTTGAAAGGGGAGGAAAATGAAAATGCCACATGTTACATGAAAAAATGTACATACAATACATTTTTACATACGTGTACGTATGATGAGATATTTGCATTCTTGCGCACATAACCATTTTCGCCGCTTGCGCGCTTTCGCTTTTGGCGAATTCGTTGAGGGTAAGAAAATAAAGGAAAAGTACCAAAGGTTTTCTTCTAATGCGTATGGAGCGTTGTTTAATTGAGAATATGCATATCCGCAGGGTTGTTTAGAAGGAAAACCCTTTTTTTTTTCTTCTTCTTCTTCTCCCCATCGTTTATTTCAAAGGAGGGAAGAACTTACTCGAGCTGAATGTAACTAAAGGAAAAGGAACAGAAATGCGTGAACAAAAGTGAGCCTAAAGAACGCAAGACGAACGAAAGGTAAGAGGAAAAAAGGAAGAGAAAAAAACAAAAAACAGAAAGAAAAACAAAAAAAAGAAAACGCGCATAGGAAGAAAGGAAAAAATAGCAGATGAAGTAAACGTACACAAGAATTAGTCACCTTTTCCGCAATCAAGTCAGCGTTGATATAGTTTTAACCACGTGTACAATCCCGCATAAAGGCTTCGACGGTCGCAAAACGATATAGTTATATACCCGTCAGCACGAATAGGCATATCTGGGGCAAAATGATCGTGGGAAAAAATTTCTGGGATGAGGAGAAGGACGCACCTATTCTGAAGAGAAATGGAAATTACATTAACAGGGAGAACTGTGAATATGTTTGCAAGCGTGCAGAACATTTCTACGAAATTATGTTAAGTTACATTAAAGAGGAAATCAATGTGGAGATTCGAGAAGATTGTAATGATAAAGAAATTTTGAGGATAATACAATTAGACGCTGAAAGAACATTTAACAAGGAAGAAAATCGATCTCTACTAATCGAAGTGCTGCAGTCCATTTATCCAATAACGAATGATTACCACCAAGGCATATCATTTATCTCTTCCTTTTTGTTGCTTTTTTTAGAACCAAGGGAAGTGGTAAAAATTATTACCGGTTTACACAGATATTATTTACCGGGGTATTTTAAGGCAATGCCGAAGGCATACGTGAGGGATTCTCGTGTGTTCTTAAGTATCTTAAATCATTTCCATCCAAATTTATATGAACATATAAAAAACTTGATAACTCCCGAAGCTTTCGTTTCTAAGTGGTTCATTGGTCTCAATGTGCACGTCTTGACATTCGAATCGCTTATGTTATTTTTTGAGCACTTGTTGAAAGAAGGAGAAATATTTTTGTTTAAATATAGTATTGCTTTGTGCAGAACCTTGGAACAAGAAATTATGAATACAAATGACGTTTCTAAGCTTCTAGCGCTGTTGCGATTAGACCAGAAACTTTTCCCCAATGATTATAAAAAGTCGGAAACGCAGAAAATTGGAGATTTCTTTTTAAGCATTATTGAAGCTTCATTAAAAGTGGACATGTCAAACATTGACTTGGACAAATTAAGGGAAGAAGCCTGTGAGCAGATGAGGCTGGAGGAGGAAAGGAGGAAGCAAATTGAGATGGAGCGCCTTTTAACGGATGACGAAATTATTTTTTCCGACGAAGACGAAGACGACTTAGATGATGATGACGAGGGGGATGTAGATCTGACGCAGAGCGAGCAGGGGAACATATCGGACCACACGGATAATTTGCATCGTGTGGAAAAATCTCTTCATGTGGAACTGAACAAATTACAGCTTGACGAGGCCAAAAAGGCCAAGTCAGAAGACGCAAAGGAGAAAGCAATTTCGAGTGGAGAGGCCCAAAAAAGTGAGAAGAAAAACGTCGAAAAAAGGGAGTGTGAAGAGGCCGACTGCTTTTAACAAATATTAAGAAAAATGAATACAACAATCGGATGGAAAAAAAGGAAAGAAAAAAACAAAAACGTACACATGTGTTAGATGTAAACGCACTGCGTAACAAAATGGAAAGATTAATTAAAATAAGATGCAACTTCGTATTTAAAATGTTACCCACATTTTTTTACCCAAGACCAGGTGCAAAATATATATATGCGTACTTTCCACTGGAACACTTTATATAGCATTTATTTTAATTAAGGCGCCTTTTCTTTTCATAAATGCGGCGGGTGATGCACCAACACCCACATGCTTTATGTTAATGTGTGATGCGTGTAGAACGCACCATCGAATTGTGTCACATTGTATTGCTGAGCAATGCGGTCTGATGAGTCATCCGATCCGTACTGCGCTTGCTTCGCAAGTGCTGAGTCGCATGGCCTTTTTCTTTTTTTTTTTTTTAAGCATACAAACATACCAACACTTTTGTTTTACGTATATACTATTTGTGTTAATCTGTTTTCTCCCAACACACACATACAATTGTCCCTACACCCCACGTGGGTGTATTTGTTTGCACCTCAAATGGGTTTATTTTTACACCTCAAATAGATTTCTTTTTTCACCTCATAATTATGAAATAATGGGATGCTTTTCCACATTTCCCCAATTAATTAGTAGATATATATTGCGACTGACGTCGTGAGGGGAGAGAGTTCATTTAGGGATTTACCTCCTCCACCTGCGGGCAAAGGGAGGAAAGCTAATCTGTCAAGTGTGGCGAATTTGCGATGGGGTGACAATTTTTATGGGCTCCGTTGTTTAAGAAAACAACAGAAAGGAAGGAGCCAAAGATATGAAGACATGCCTTTTCTGCATCCAACATGGACGCCGATCTGTCATTTTTATTATACCGTGATGCAGTCACATTTTTACGGTGGCCCTTTTACCGCTGTTCCGTTTCGACGTTTATTTTTATAATTATATTAAAAGTTGTGGAAAAAAAAAAGAAATTAATAAGCAAAAAGGAATAAAAATAGACATTGCGCGATAAGCACAGGGTATATACACATAACATACAAGCACACAACGCGCGAAAATTCAGTTCACTCTTCCGTTTTTTGTAACCTAGCTTTTGCATTAATAACCGACACGTTCATTTGTTTGGCTCTCTCAATTATTTCCCTTCTCTTTTTACTCGAAACATTATGAGCAATTTGGACACAGTACTTTGTGTTGTTCATAATTAATGGTTCCATTTCTCTCACATTTCTTACTATATATTTATACTTATTATTTGGTAATAAATATTTCGTTTTTTTGTTGCTTCCGTAACCAATACTTGGCATTAAGTTCGTTCCTTTGTACCTTCTTCTGACACGACAATCAATACCTCTTGGTTTTCTCCATGCAGGCTGCGGGGCAGAAGAGGCGAAGGTGGGGTGTTGTAGGGCGTCTTCATACAAGCATTAAAGATAGGCGCACGACATATAGACATGTCATGAAATGATGCAACACAAAAGGATACGATAAAATAGGTACGCCATGTGTATGAGCTTATGGAGAGGTGAATTCGGGAGGGGGGGAGGTTTGCTTCAAAATATATTTGTTTATCACAATTAGTACGCGAGAAAGGTGATGCATGGGGTCAGGTATACAAAACCCATAGGGATGTGTATTCCCCACTAGGAACATGCTGATATATGTTGCTAGTCACCACCCCTGGATTTCTACTGCATACAAATTCCACTGAGCTTAGTGTGTACAAAAATAGTTCCTCCCTCTTTGTAGTTACACAAGCGTACACGCGCAAGTCAACAAAGGGTATCTGCACATGTATAGGCATATATCTAGATTATAAAGAAAGTATCACTTGGTCTCCCCCTCCCATATTCTCCTTTCTTTTGTGTTATCTTGTGATTACCTTAACGCGCATAAACCTGTTCGACTGAAAACGGGTGAACTTCTTTGTTCTCTTCTTTACAATTTTTCCCACTTTTTTTACGGCCATTTTGGATTTTTTTGTATATGTTGGTTGGATAAATTTTGCGTTTCGCAAAAAAAGGACTACTAAACGTGGAAATGTCGAATCAGTAAGGTACGCAAAAGTTAATACGGCGTTGCTGGCACGGCGTTATAAACATATATACATTTACATGGCAGGATTGAAATATAGCCTTCCTTTTTTTTTTTTTTTTTTTCTTAAAAAATTATATTTTCTTTTTTTTTTTTATCTATAAATTATTTAAATAGTTTAAACGGTTTTAAATATATGAGGAGTTGTTGAAATTTTGCGAATCTCCCTTTAGCTGGTATTTTTCCCTTCCCCATGTTTTAGCAGCTTGCAAATTTTTCTGTCACCATAGGAGCAATACGTGGATAGCATAATAATATTATATAATGCATATAACATATACCGTTTTGCAAATATAAAATTGCATAAGTGAGAAGTGCATCGTTATAGGTTGTAGTCAGTTATCTCTCTTCTGCAATTCTCACACGTGAAGATCTTTTTTAATAATTAATTGCGGGACCGGCACAAAGTAAAACATGACATAAGATGTACAGAGCAATGCTGCAAAGGGCTACTTACGTATGCAGTATATAGTTTCGTGAATGTACGCGTCAAGCGACGCAGCATTTTGGGTTCCTTCAAAAAAGATGCCCCTGTTTTTTTTTTTGTTACCAACCCTCTCATTACCTTCTTTTTTTTTAAATGTGCCAACGGAAATAGGATTGTACATTTTTAACTTAAGTGTTTTTTTAAGCGGAATTTATTTATGTTCGTAAAAATGGCCCATCATTGCTTAAACTGTATTTTTCTTTAAGCAACAAAGGGAAGATTTCCTGTAGGGAGGAATATATAATATGCCCGCTGGAATTAATGCCCCGTAGTAGTACCAGGGGGGGGTATATAGGAATTATGGTACATCCCGTTTCATTTCACCTTGGAAAAAATTTATGCGTAGTACAATGGCACTTTGCATTGGCCACTTCGAAGGGAAAAGAGCAGCCACAGTGGAATTGCAAATTTTTAGGCAATAAGATATACTATTTCGTATTCTTTCTCAAGGGGTGCCTGGGTCACTTTATTTTATATAAAAATGGCACAAAATGCGTTTTAAGTAATAAGGGGGAAAAACGGCAGAGCTTGGCAAAATGCGGCTACAAGAGTAGCTCATTTGGGGGCTGTATTGTTCCATTTTTTACGCAGCCATTTGTTGACCATCTGTTGCCCATTTGTATGTGTCGTTTATTCTCCCCAACACGAGTACTCTTCCCTGCGACAGGGAAGGAATAAAACATAGTAGGGGCAACACATCGTGGAGTAAAAATTTCGCTAACAAATATTTTCAAAAGGAAGATACATTTTTTAAGAGCATGGGTGGAATGGCGTTTTGGTTCAGTTCATGCGGTCAGCCGTATTTTGCATTTTCTTGACGAAAAGAGTATATAAGTAAATGGTTTATGACTGGGAAAAAAAATTGACATCATCCAGGATTTGACAAATGGAACAAATAAACAAACGAACATGCGAACAAATCAAGAAATTAACGAATCGAGGGGGCACTGCGGAGCCCCTTTTTCGCGTGAAAAATTTTGTTGTATACATTTTTTAAAACTGATTAATGCTAGGGACGGCCACTTTATATGCCGAATATCGCAAGTTGCGGGGAGCGGGACTTTTCCACGTTCCCCCGTGTGTGTGTCAAAATTGTGTCGCTGCACGACGACGTGTCTGTATGCGCGGAAGGGATGTATGTGCATCTACGCGGGGTGCTGCTTTCCTGCGCTTGGTAACGGTTGGCTGTATTTTCCCGCATAAACCACATGCCCCCGGCGTTTCGCCTGGTTGCCGTGAATTACTGTGGAAGGAAGGAGATGTTCTTAAACTTAGACTCTCCGGTTAGGGTTATCAACCCGACACTTCCCAACTCGGTGCTGCGCTGATTAAGTTTCGAATTGACCACGAGCTCGTCATTCAGCGTGGCATTCACGCGTTCCCCGTTGTAGGACACCGTCAAATGGCACCACACATCCGGGGGTATTGGCATATGCGTTGGTGCATTTAGCTGGTATGGAATTCCGTTACTAATTTTTAGGAGATACAATTTACCATCCATTTGTGTGGTATCCAATATGACAGATAAGAAATCATCAGATGATAGGACTCTGAAAATAACCCCAGATTTTGTCAAAGGTTTTAAGCTAATGGATGTTCCGAGCGAAAAGGATTTCATGTTGGTACATATGTTGTGACGCTTTAAAAGTATGATTGATGGAATGAGCAGATCTTCTTCTTTCCGTTTCTGCGCTGAGTGAAGATAACACTCGTCGGTGTCCATTTTTCCAATTTGATTATGTCCATCCGAGTAAACACGTTGTATTTGTTCTCCCCTTTTGGGATCTGCCCAAATTGAGTTGAAGGCGAAATTTTTGTGAATCCTCCAAAAGGTGTTTAGAGGAACAATCCAGTTAGTGTCTAATGGGAGGTTGCACCTTTCTGTGAATGGTTTGCACCCAATCTGGCTATCTCTATTTGTGGCTTCTTCGGTGACTGCTTCTTCATTTGAATGACTTCTTTTCTCCACTTTGTGGAAATCATTTATATTGTTCGTGGAAGGGATGGTAACTGACTTCCTCGCCCCCTTGTAGTATTTGGCTTGATCGAGAGAACCTATGACAATTTTATCAAAAAATATTTTTTCCTTACAGTTGTTTATTCCAACTCCTACGTGTCCATATGAATCATTTTTTGTTTGAAATCCGTTGACATATTTCCCGTTTATGTAAGCTCTAACATTTTTATAGCCAAACTCGATAAAGAGTGTTGCCCATGCCCCTAGCTGCAAGGGCAAACTTCTTATTTGCCTGCTACTAATTGGTGGACTCCTTTTCCCATCGGTCATTTCGACAAAGTAAAACTCCTTCCTGTTTATTACAAAATTGGAGTAATTCCTATCGTCTCTGTACTTGATGAGGATTCCTACATTTCCTTCATATGGTATTTTAACGTCGCAGGAGATGAAGCCTTTGTACACCTTAGTGTGTCTCTGGAGTATGTAAGAAGCGTATAGCTCTTCCCCGGATTTTATGAGCCTATCATTGGTGATAGCCGCAAAGAGGTTTCCATTGGTGAATCTTTCCATAGCCCAGTTTGATGACCCGCTTATACTCCTACCATCAATGATGACGTAGTTGTCATTTATATTTTTTGAGTTGTATTTTTCTTCAAATGTCTCTACGGTTATCGGTTTGACGTCTGCTAGTGCCTTTTCCAATTTTTCTATGATCATTTTTTTTCTATTTGTGATCAGTGCAAATTGTTTTATGAGAGATACCACGGATGATTGGTTCACCCTGATGAAGGTCTCGTACTTCTTTTGTTCGCTTCTCAACTTGGACAAGGTTTTATTCAAATTGTTTATCTGTTTATTTTTTAGTATTAAGTTGGAGAAAATTCCTTTTTGTTTTTTTGCCAATTTCTGCAAGTGTTCCTTTTCCGCGTCGTAGCTTTGCTGGAATGTGTTAAAAGAGTCCATCAGTTGCGGGTTCTGTTGTACGCCTGGTGAATCAGCAACTTGGTTACAGCTTTGAATTTCGTGACTTTTGTCCGCAGATCCATTTCTACCGGCTAGCAATCCTCTCTTGTAACTTTCTGTGTTGTACAAATGGTGCATGTTAACCAGTTGGTTCTTCAAAACGGCGTGCTTCTGGTGAACTAGGGCAACTGGGGGGACATCCATCAGGTATGACTTCGTCTGGATGAAGGAGAAAAGAGCATCTTCACTGGAGTCCGAATTTAGCGACTCTTTAATGTTGTGGGAGGTTCTTGGGAAGTTACAAATGGATCCATTAGGTTTCGTTAAGTAGTAAGAATCTTCATTATTATGATCAGCGATGGTAGCCATAACGCCATTTCTAGTTATTGTCATGGTGCTAGTAAACGATTGGGTAATATTTTGCAGTTTCCTTATTTGTATCAGTCCGCCTCCTTTGTTTGTTATGATACCAGAGTGAATAGCAGATTTGCATATAGCTGACTGCGGTCCGTAAATGTAGGATCCTAGAACTGGCTTTTCATTGTGGAGACAGTTAGGCAAGCATCGTGCAACTACAACGTTTTCGTTAGTAAAATGAATTTCTTCAAATGTATCATCGCAGGTTAGTAATAAAGATGGGTATTTCATCATGTCATTCGGTTGTCTATACCTTATGTACAGCTGAATATTGTTACACGTTTTTCTTGTCCATCCGGGTAGATAAATAGGAGTACTATCTTCACTTGTGTATTTTTCAAACATTGCAAATGCATCCACCACTATGCTTTCTTCACTTTTTGTTAAATCGGAACGCTGGATCCGTTTTACGATGAAGGATCCAGAACTGAATTCATAATTGTCTGGTAAATTTTTGTCACAATTTATTTCAATGTCTGAGATGTATCTTTTGGAAGAATCAGTTTTTGTTAGTAGAGAATGTTTATCATCCGTCACAACTCCTGTGTACCCTTCATACACATTTCTGTTCGAGTCATAGTTCAGGAAAAAATCGTCCATGTCTACCAGCTTAATGTCTGTGATTCCTTTAAATGTATTGTCTTCCATGTCTGTTGGTAGAATCAGTGCACACGGTTCCGAAGTGGCTTTTTCGTTTGTTCGCTCTTTTATCGTTACCTTTATGATTCCTCCGCTTTCTTGTGGCAGCAAATTTGCCTCGACTGCAGATGCGCACATGCGGGAGGTTAGCGCGTAGCAGGGGGGAGGGCTTGCCTCCAAATTGGAGGGGACTCCATTTGGAGTGGCCTTATTGGGGGAGGCATTATTAGGGGTGGCATTATTGAAGGCACCCCCTGCCGCGGAGCACTCGGAGGGGCACAAAAAATGGGACTCCCTATTATCCCTAGGTACAATCTCGAAGGTTGTGGCGCAGTCTATCTTTTTCTGAAACGCGGTGTAGCAAACCTTTTCATATACAGTGGTGTACAAGTATAGAGAATTTATGACTTGTTCGGGTATGTGTTTGCTGGACCAGAATAATGAGAAGGATGGCATGGGGGTGTTGGTTTCTACCCCAGCAGATGACACCTCGATGTATATAGACACCAGTTTATTTCTGGCTAAATGAACAAGGGAGCTACTTACAGTTGTTTCATTTGCCATGTCTTCGTTTGAAATAATTTCCTTACTCTCTACCTTAACAGTCAGCTTACCTACCACATTTTTTGCAACAAATGTGTAGTTTCCGTCATCTGGAGGGTTAAGAAAACTTTGAATGACAATTTTGACTTGTCCACTTTCAATTCCCAATTGGTTTAATTTTTCTTCATTTAGTTCTAATCTCTCGAGTGGAGCTCTCAACAAATTGTTCCTTTTATTTATATCAATGTTGTCGTATATTTTCATTAGGGCACCCGTTCCGTAATTGGCCAACGAAGAAGACGTGTTTATGAGAGATTTAATGTTACTCATTAAGTTTGCGATTTTTTCCTTTTCCTTAATGATTTCCTTTTCTGTTTTTAAAAATTTATTAATTTTTCCTTCTGCTTCTGTGTAGCTTTTAATCAGTACTTCTGACTTTGAATGAAAATTTTGAAAACTTTCTTCATTCACATTTTGTAGCTTTTTGTGTGCATATTTTGCTTTCATAAAATTTAGTTCGTCCTCGGAAAAGACCTTAATTTCGAACTCCCTTGTGGATAGTTCATTGCAAGCGAAGGCAAATAATTTATTCCCAGCTAGCTGAGCGCAAGTGTTATTTTCATTTCTGAGTCTTTTTACCGAATCGATTTTCCACATTTCTGACTTGTCGTTCAAATCGGGGGAGCAATTCGAAACGGTTAAGAAGTTTTTGTAAGTTTTTAGACACAGTCCATTTTGTGTTCTAAGTCTTCCGTTCGTGGAGGACAGCCAGGTGATTTGGTTCTACAAGAGGATGAATAGGCGCGGAATAGTGGTGTCGTCATGTCGAGGTGGTAAAATGGCGAGTTGGCTCACACGTGTGTTACCATTTTGGCTAAATCTCACACAGGGATAACCATTCTCATGGAGACAAAAAGCAGCAGATATACACAAACAGTTACATTTATCTGTATACACCCCATTTTACCTCATTTCCATGTGCTAACTTGTCGCATTCATCCGAAGCTACTTCAAATTTGTTATTTTCAATAACGTTTTCGGAATATAGGCAGTATGCGTCTTTGTGCTTCAGGAATATCCTACTGTCGGACACAACTTGCCCGAGGGATCCATTACAGAAAAGGGGAAGAAGCAGCGCGCAGGTTAAAAGGAAGGATGTTTTCATTGTGTTGGGCATTTTCTTTTCCAGGCAATCCCGGGAAGCACTGCAGGGAAGCAGTGAAGGGAAACGAACTGAGGAAACTAACCGAAGAACCCCCAAGCAGTGCAACAACAAAATGGGAGAAACAACAAGCTAAAATTTACATACAATCAATTTACACAACCAATTTGGGCCGCCACACATTGCCCCTTCGTTCGCACAACAGAATAGTGTTACTAGCTAAAAAAAAAAAAAAAAGAAAGCCACAAATGTTACACCAAATTGTGTCATGTACTAAGTTAAACTCCATCCACCAGAAATTTCTGTCACAATATTAATCCGTCTTAACAACAACACCATGGGAAAGATCTAGCAAGATTACCACGCGTGCGTATACAACATTGCGCGCGTAGACAAGTATATTTCCCCTTACTGCGTGTAACTACACAACGTTGTTTCAATAGGCCATTTGCCAATATTGTGCGTGAGAGAGAGAAAAAAAAAAGGAACATTGAAGAAGAAAGACCGTTATACGGAATGATGCGCGACTCTTACATATCCATTTGGAGAACCTCCCTTTTACGCACGATATGTCTTTACTTTAAAATTGCTACGAATGGCGCTATTTGAAATTTTCTTAATTTTGTTATTTTTTCCTGCCTAGAGATTTGCACGTTCATACTTCCTCACATGTGTATTTACACATATATGCGCGAAAAGTGGCAAAATAAAGAATTGTTTCTTTTACTTATTTCCGCCGAAATGTATACTGGCTCAAAAGGCACGCTTCTTACAACAAGTGCTGAAGTGTTAGTGGGAAAATGAACGTGGGCATGTGTGTATGTGGACTTATATTTATCCATATATTTACACATAAGTACCCGTACGTACTATGTATGAGCATACATTTGCTGATACATGGATGTATGCACGTTCATGAAGTGGAAATGAGGTGGACATACACATGTATGCGCACGTGAGAATGTACGTATGAATTAGTTCTTCAATATGCAAAAACGCTGTAAATATGTGCATACATTTTTATGTATTAAAAATTTTTTCTCGCTTACATCTAATTTTTTTTTAATTGAAAATTTTTTTTTACAAAAAAAAAAAAAAAAAAAAAGAAAACATGTAAAAATGAAATAATTATGATACATATTGTTGTTTGCACTAGCTTCACATGATAGATGGGGTGAGTGTATGGTAACTGTCCCTTTTGTTTTTTGCTTATACTTTTACACCCACAATTTGGCAGCACAACGTGCGCACGTGTGTATATATATTATATGTATATATATATACTTATTGCGCGTGTTGGGCGCAACGAATTCGTTTGTAACCCCCGCTCATTCCACGTTCCTAATACTCCGCTTCGTATCCTTCGTCTTCCCCTTCGCCCTCGTTGGTCTCGATGCCGACCTCTTCGTAGTCCTTTTCCAAAGCGGCCAAGTCTTCCCTGGCTTCACTAAACTCCCCCTCCTCCATACCTTCTCCAACGTACCAGTGGACAAACGCTCTTTTGGCATACATGAGGTCAAATTTCTGGTCCATTCTAGAAAACACTTCAGCAATTGCGGTGGAGTTGCTTATCATGCAGACGGCTCTCATCACTTTGGCCAAATCCCCCCCGGGGACAACGGTCGGTGGTTGGTAATTAATACCACATTTGAATCCAGTTGGGCACCAGTCAACAAATTGAATTGTTCTTTTCGTCTTAATGGTAGCAACAGCTGCGTTGACATCCTTTGGGACGACATCTCCTCTGTACATTAAACAACAAGCCATGTACTTACCATGACGAGGATCACATTTAGCCATCATATTTGCTGGTTCGAACGCCGAATTGGTAATTTCTGACACTGATAATTGTTCGTGATAGGCCTTTTCAGCACTAACAACTGGAGCATATGAGGACAACATGAAGTGGATACGTGGATAAGGCACTAAGTTCGTTTGAAACTCCGTAACGTCCACATTTAGGGCACCATCAAATCGTAGAGAAGCCGTTAGGGACGAAATAACTTGCGCTATTAGTCTGTTTAAGTTTGTATAAGTGGGCCTTTCGATGTCCAAATTTTTTTTACATATGTCGTAGATAGCTTCATTGTCTAACATGATCGCCACATCGGTGTGTTCTAGTAGAGAGTGGGTGGACAAAACCGAGTTGTATGGTTCCACCACAGCTGTTGATACTTGAGGTGAAGGCCAGCAGCAAAAGTTCAGCTTCGATTTCTTTCCATAATCAACTGATAATCTTTCTAACATTAAACAGCCAAAACCACTTCCGGTACCACCACCAACAGCACTAAACATTAGAAAGCCTTGTAGACCTGTACAGTTATCGGCTAGCTTTCTAATTCTGTCTAGGCACACATCTATGACTTCCTTTCCTATGGTGTAGTGACCCCTTGCGAAATTGTTTGCGGCATCTTCCTTTCCTGATATTAATTGTTCAGGGTGAAACAGCTGACGATATGTACCTGTTCTCACTTCATCTACAACGGTTGGCTCTAGGTCGACGAAGACGCAACGTGGGACCTGTGGCGATAAAGGGAAGCGGAGGGAATATTTATGTGCATGCACAGATACATGTACACATGTATGCGTTTATATATGTCACTCGGACGCCCAAACATGCACAATCCATTCTACATTACACGACGTGAACAGATATGAATCACAAAAGAGAGGAAAGTTACTCCTTTGTATACAATTAACATGCACACTGTTCGTCCGTAATGCGCGTAGGATATGAACACAAGGGAACAAACAGATTTCAACTAGCGCAAAGTTTGCGCCACTTTGGAGAGGGCACATTCTTTGGAAGTAGACGCGTAAAAAGAGTTAATCAACGGTTGAGCTATTTTTCCCTCCTTACGTGTTTTCCTGCACCCGTTTCTGAAAAAAAGGTATTAAAAGCATCATCGTTTGCTCTGGCAGCTTTGTCCGAGGGCATTTGACCATCCGGTTGTATTCCATGTTCTAGGCAAAACAGTTCCCTAAGGGGTGGTTGCGAGGTGTGCAGGAGGTGTGCAAGCGTGTAACTGTGTTTATACGCACGATTTGCAGCGGGTGTAGAAGGATACGTCGACTGGTAAGCCAACCCAATCACATACTACGCAAAGAACATAACATACAAGGTCAAAATATGCAATGTAAATATGGCATGTGTGCATGCAGACGAATACACAAGTGTGTGTGTACTCGTGTGAACACAAAATGACTAGGGGGGGGGTGCATGTTAAGGAGACTATTGGCATGCTCTTCCCATTTTTAATGAATGGGGTGACACGATGTTAAAAAAAAAGGAAAAATGCACAACTTTGGTGCTAGGGCATCTGAAGCCAAAAGAATGATGTGTGCAGGGTGAGCACATTTTGTTTTCTTCTTTTTTGGTTACCAGCAAGCATTTCCAACTTGAATACCAGCTTGTCCTACATGAATACTTATTACTTCTCTCATTTTTATATGAATGAATGGTTATAAAACAAAAAAAAAATAATTTGTTTTTAAAACGTAATAAATACTAAATATCAAAATGGAAAATTGAATATGAGAGAAAATGATTACATAAAACAAAAATACAAGGAAGTTGCGTGATAAATTATTGTGTACGTACGTAAATGCTTATTTTACATATATTCATGCTTTAATTTTTGTGCTTTGTAATTTTTTCTTTAATTCTTGTAAAACATAATGACTAATTACTCGCAAAAAATTTGTTCTTTATGGAATTCCTTAAAACAGTAAAGTCGTAGATATGTACACGAATATTTTTTTGGGGGGGGAGGAGGAAAAAAAAAGTGATGCTCGCAGGGTATTATACACGCTTAATTCACATACGCACGTATGTAAAATATGTACATATGAATGTTGTACATTTCCAAGCAGGGATTTTTTTGAGGAAAAAAAAAGTCTGTATACAAATAGAAAGTAATGTTTCAAAGTTTTCCTTCCCTTTTTTGTTTTTTTATAATGTTTTGTGCCTATTTGTTGAATGTATATGGATATGTGTTTTTTTTTTTTTTTACATGTTTTCCATTAGCATATTTATATACACTGGAAATGTACGAAAAAAAAAAGAAAAAGAAATGTTTTTTTCTTTATTCCAATTTTGTGTAACCTTGTATATTTATTTTGTTTTATTCTTTTACCACCATATGTAAGAATGCGAATAAAATAAATAAAAAAAAAAAAAAATTCTGTCAGGATATAAAAGCCAAGTGGTGCGTTGGATTAAGTTCTTTTCCCCCTTCCCCTTTGAAATTTGTTCAGACAAAACGGTCAGGATATTATTTAATATTCAAAAGTTCGTAAAAATTCTGCTCTTATGCCACATTTTTTGTACTTAAAAGTTCTTATAAAAATGAATGGTGAAATTTGCACTGTTATGTACTTTTTGCAAGCCTTTTCCCTATTCCCCTTTCGTCAATATTGTGTAAACAATTTTGGGGGGGTTAACGATATGTGCTTATGCATGAAGATTTTACATGAGAACTTTTTTTTTTTTTTTTTTCCAACAGAAGGGGAGCCCTACATATGCTTATAAGGTGTCAAAAAGTGACGCGAAAACGGTAAAGTCCATGCTTTTTAACAAATCCTTGGTTAATTTTTTTTTTTAACAGAAATTGCATAGTGTGTATTTTACGTTTTGTTCTATCAAAGGCAATGTAGTGTCCCCTGCTGATAATAACAATAAATTCGAACTTGTGAACGTTTTTGAACTGCTCGTAAAAAAAAGTATTTTTTTTTTTTCTCACACAAAACAGGATTTCCAGTTTCCATAACAAAAAGGAAAATGTAGCAAGAGTGCTAATGCTTTTAATTTCAATGTTAGTCGTTTTTTAAGAAATAGAGGTGTATGGATATTTCACTGCACTGTTGAGGGTTTCCTTCTTTTTTTTTTCCCTCACCAAACGAGTGATAATTTCCCCGAAGAGATTTGCACACTTTTTTTTGACCTTTAAATATATCCACATTTTGTGATACGTGTAGGTTTTATTTTAATTTTTTTTTTTTCCCGTTTGTGTATGCTAGTGATTGCTAAAAAAAGCTGAAGTGGGCATTTTTTTTTCTTCAGAACGCGGACAAAATTGCATTTAAAAATACATTTAAACTAGTTCTATTTTGCAAATTTCGGGTGGCATATGCAAAAAGAATGTTAAATAGTGTAACAATTTCTGGTTTGGTACATTTTACGTTTATTTCGCCAAAATGAAGTTAAAAAAAAAAAAAGGAAAGAAAGTTATCGTGCCATTGGGGTTGATAGCCCACTTTGCACACGTGTCTGAAAATGCTGTAAAATGCAGAAGTGTGTATATACACATATATATGTGTACGCTCGCTATTGAATTTTATTTTTACCCTCAATTAATGCGGGGAAATATTGTGAACGGGATTGTGAACAGGTGTGCACGCAAAATCCTCCCTTTTTTAATTATTTCTACATTTTGCTTAAAACTCGCACGGGGCGTGCACAACTGCATTGTCGTCCCTTCTGCAACCCTTAAGTTGTTTTCTTCAAAGGATTAGAAAATTGGGACATGAAAAAGAAGAGGAAGGGTAAAAAATTAAGTGGCGCAACTGTTAAAACACCCTCTGCGCACAACTGAACGTGAGAGTTATTGTCATGAGCCTATTAAAATGTATATGCATATATACTTGCATGTGTATTTTGTACTAGGTGTTCGCAAAATGCGTCACCACAAGGTAAGTCCGTTCAACATGAGCAGTGGCGTTTCCTCTTTTTTTTCCCTTTTTATTCACCTTCCTAACCTCCAAAAAAAGGAAAAGAAAAAAAAAGGACGTCTATGATATTAACACAACATAGCATTAAAAATTAACATAAACACAAAACTGTCACACTTTTACCTCTTCACTAAGAATGAAGCGACGCGGGCTCTTGTTCTATACATATATAGAGATTTTTTTTTTTTTTTTTTTTTTTTACAATATGAAAAAAAAAAAATTAAAGTGTCTTAAAAGGGGGTAGCGAAAACGACAGCAAAATGTAATCGTTGTGTACCACTTAAAAAAATTAATGAAAAAAAATTGCTACTATAAAAAAATACAACGCTGCGAAGGGGTAAAAGAAGTTTTAATAGGTAAATATGCAGAAAGTACGGAACTAATGGAAGGTTCATTCTTTTTACGTCAGCAATGAAAGTGGGCATAGCGTATCTTTTGTGTTGTTAAATATACATGTCCCAACTCCACAGAGTGAAGATGAAGCCATAGAATAGGGGACTCCGCACTAATGTCTGCAGTTGAGAAGCGTTAGTTTTATCAACGAATTGGTCCTTTCCGTTCAGCTCAGTCATAATTTGAAATGCTTTTTGAAAAATAAAAATGGGGAGGGAAAATGGACAAAATTATTGAAAAAGGAGTCTTTCTTATTTCTTCTCCATTTCTGCGCACGTTTGGGCTCTGTGTTAAGGGAAAAATGAGTATATGTGGCAAAATAAAAATAAAAAAAAAAAAATCAAATCCATACATTGTGAGACGCTAACATACACAATCTTTATGGGTAGGCTTCAACAACAGAAGCGCAAATATAATTGGCACCTTAATTTTATTCCCGTTATTTCGTTCCGTAAGGACAAATTGTAAGTTTGCAACTGTTTGTACTTGAGACCTAAGCCGTGGATAACTTCGCTTAATAGTTTCTGTTCATCCTTAGAAATATCAATTTGCGTTTTCCTGAAGGGAAAAAAAAGTAATTTGAGGTTTGCAACTCCCCAATAAGGGGCATACTATACATATATATATGTGTGTTGTACACGCCCATATAAATGCTCGTAAGGTGGTTCCCTTATTCAGTACAGTGCGTCCTTGTAGTATTCGGTTTCCTTTTCCCTAATTTGTAATTGTTCCTTAAAGATTTGTAAAGCCTAATGTGGGGCAAAATTGCGTAGAAGGATAAGTGTGGCATCGTATGAAAGCATATTAGGATGTCTGACTCAACAATTTAAAATAACTTGTTGTAATTATTTACATCCAAGGAGCAGTTCATTCTTCTTTGTTTTTTATTTTCTGTATGTACCGCATTAAATTCCTTGCTTAGTTTATTCTTTGTGGTCTCTTCGATAAGTCCACAGTTTTTCTTCTCCATTAGCAACTCGGCTTCTAGCTTTATGATTTTTTCCTATGTTAAGGGAAACAATGAGATGTTGTCATTTTTTTTTTCTTATAATTATTGCCCGTTAATAGGCCTTATAAAAGAAAAAGTACAAATAGAGAATTACATTTCTTGCTAAGTCTGAATTCCCCTGCATATGAGACAACTCAATCTTCATCCTTTGATTCGTCTTAAAATGGAAAAAAAAAATTCGATTTCACTTTTGTAGATTAAACATTGGGAAAAATCATAAATTTGTGCACATGCATTGGTGGCAAGGGACTGTACACAGATTGGCAAAGAGAGAAAGGTGGGTAAATTGATAACCTCAGTCAGTTCTTTAATTTCCTGCTGTTTTGCTTCTACTTCCTTCTGCTTTCCTTCCATTTCTTTTAACGTTTTCTAAAAAAAAAAAAAATAAAATAAAAAAAAAATAAGCAATCCTTTTTGCGCCGAATGAGGAGTTGCACTTTCCATTTCTCACCTCATATTTTTCCTGCAGAGTTGGGTCGTCTTTTGCGTCCTGCTTGTCCATAATTTCCGACATTTTATTTTCTAGCTTTTTATTTATTCTCTTCAAATCGTCAATTTCGTTTTCAAGCTAAGAGAATCGAAAAAGTACGGAAGGTGTATTGTGCTCACGTGTTTTTATAGGTACGCTGCGTTACACATGATGACTGAAGCATGTGGACGGACAATTAAAGCTGTACCTCCTTCACTTTGTTCATGTCGTGACTCGTGTCTGTCGACACTTTCTCCTTTAAGTTCTCGTTTTCCTTTTTAAGTCTGATTAATTCCTCCGTTTGGTCCACGTTGCTTAGTCCTCTAAAATTGGGATGAACAAGTAAAGCGCTAGGTCATTTAACAGTTCGCAAAAGTTTATGCGTTGAATAGGACTATCCGTTTTCTCGTCAATGCAAACGTGCCCGTGTTTAGATATGCATGTGTAATTGCATATAGAGAGGGGCTTATTATAATGTTTTACATGTTGATTTTTTCAAAATTTTGCTCCTTCTTCAGCTGTTCATAGGACTGGTTTTTCGCTTCTCTGAAAGGGGTGAATGCGTAAATAATTTGCGTGAAGAAATACACGTTTTTCTTTTCTTTTTTCTTTTTTTTTCTTTTTTTCTTTTTTTTTTTCCTTTTTTGTTAAATTACAAGTCGTTTTTCAGCTTTTCTAGGGTTTTGTTTTTCTCGTCGAGGTCTTGTTTCAGTTTCTCATTCTCCGTCTTTGCGTTCACTAAGTTGGTATCCAAATCTGAAGTGAGTGGTGTGGAGAAGAAAGCGAAGCAGGTATTTCCGTTGCGGAGATTTGTTCGGACGGAGTGTGCAGCAAAATGGAGAAATAAAATGGGGTTGAAGAAACGAGCTAATGAATGGTCCAACAAACCTGCGCATTTGTCCTTATATATGATGAGACTGCTTGACTCGACCTTCAACTTCTCCACCTCATTTTCCATGTCCACCATTTTTTGAGTGTTATCCTGTGGAGGGCACACAGAAGACGAATTGTGCGATTAACGCACTGAGCATGTCTTTAATAAACCAAATAGTGGCTTAATCCGGGCAAAATAATTACGCTCATGGCCCAGATATACATCTTTATGTTATAGGGGCACATTTTTCTTTCGTTCATAAAATTACTCTAAGCTTGTCCTCCAATTCTTTGTTGATATTTTGAACAACCATTAGGCTGTCCAATTTTTCTTTATATTTATTTATTTTATTCTGCAAATTTTCGATATTGGAATTTTCTTGCTTCAGGATATTTTGTTCATCCTCCAACTCTTTGATTTTTCCTTTTAAATCATTTTCTAAGAGGCTTCTCTCCTTGGTTTGTTTTTCTAAGCTACTTTGCAATTCATGGATTTTCCTTTCTTGTTCTTCTATCTGTGTCATATATTGATTTTTGGACTTTTCGCAAGCTGCATTAATTTGTTTTTTCAAATTCTCCATCTTTTCAGTGTTATCCTGGATTGTTTTATTTTTCTCCGTCAGTGAATTGGTTAAATTTTCATTTTCCATTTCTAGATATTTCACTTTTTCCTTCAGCTGCTTGATTTCGTTTTTCATCGATTCAGTCAGGTTCTGCAGGAGAGGGGTACAGCATAAGCGGGATGTTCCTCTGTACCAGCTGTGCACGAATATGAGCAGTTGATGAATTCTGTCATATACGCCACGTGGATGAAATGTTCAAAATTTCGTAAATTTTAGTTATTCTATTACTGCAGCTTCTGTGGGGTGGTCAACAGAAGGATTTTTTTCCCGAGCATTACATAAAAAGGGGGGCACAGAAATTATGCACAGTATGTCACTTAAAATGTAGACACCTGGATTTAGCATACTTAGGGACGTGTATATGTAACGTCCACAATTCCCCCTATGATTAGTTATTTTGTAGTACAGGTTATCTCATTCAGAGATGATACTCTCTCAAAAACGGGTGCTTCTGGCTGTATTAACTAGGAAACTGTTCATTTTTTAAAAAATGATTGTGTAGTCCCTTTTCCGATTTACCTTTAGCAGCACTGTCCTGCGATGTTAGCTTGTTCTCTTTGCCCGCATTTTCCTGTAAAGTGAGAGTTCCAGAGGAATGAACGCATATGTATGCATCTATATATGTGCAATTAGCACTCACTTAGCAAATGCAGAGGTAGATGCGGTGAGAAAATGCGGGGTGGTGTTGGCAAAAAGGGAGAAGAAAAAATACCTCCTTGTCCAAAACCTCCACAATGCTATGTATATATTTTTGTGTTTCATGACTAAGGGACAAAATGTTATTTATGTGTTTTTGCTTGTCATCCGAGACGAGGGCAGCCAGAATTACTAAGCTGTATATATCGATGAACTTCGAAGAAGAAAAGAGGTTCGATCAATGAGTTTAAGCGCGATGGTTTGGAGCACACACTAGGGGGTACATACAAGGGGGTACACACAACGGGATACATATCGCTGTGTTTGATCCCCCCATGACATGCACATCATGGCGTAGGAGCCACCTGGTTGAGTGTGTGGCGGGGGGATAGCAACACATATGTAAGCACTACATATATATGCTGGAGGGCAAAGAAACATGCCCATCCCTGAGTCCAGGCAGTTTTACCTCGTTCACTGTCAAGCCCAATAAATTTTCGATAACCCTTTTTATTATCCTTTCGAACTTGTTTTCGTGGTATTCATTCAAATATTTTAGTAAGCACTCGTAGGCATCCTTCACGAAAAGGGGGTTAATAGTGGGTTAGCGCAGAGAAGCAGAATTAGGCGAAGTTAAGCAGAACTAAACGGGGGTGAAAACACCGGGACGACGTTTCAGTATGGTCCTTCATTTTTGCAACTGCGATGAAGTCTCTTCTCTGGCGTGAAGACAATTCTTTCTTGTCTCTTATTTTTGTGGGTCATCATCCCTTCCATTGCGCGCATAGGACAAGAATGCAGTTGCTACAGTTGCCGCGGGGGATGCGTTTTCCGAGTTTTGTCTTATTCTGCTTGGTGCTACTCATTCGGCCATCGGCACACTCGCGCGCGTTAATTCTTACCAACTCCGAATCAAATTGAGCCGGGTGAATCGATATGTCAAACCATGAGGGGTAAATCTCATTCATACATAGCCACACCGAATAGCAGGAGTATATGTTAATTACGCTTGCGTTATTTTCCTTGGGTGCTTTATTTACATTTTTTAGCGAAGATTCATCGATCACTATTTCCACATTTTTCGCGAAATAAAATGTCTGGACAAATTCTTTTATGTGATTCACTTTTTTTTCAACATCATTCATTTTGTTGACTCGTGTTTTGGAAATTTTATTTGAAATGTGCTATTTGTCAATTAGGTATGCACACGGAGAGTTGTAAAGAGGGGATGCAAGTGGAAAACGCGGGGGAAATACACACAAAAATGGAGAAGTTGGTATGCTCACTTTGCAGCTAAGTTGAATCCTTAACATGTGCATTTTAAAACTGGTTAATACGATGGAAAAAAAAATATATATTTCCGAAGGACCAAATGTTTTGTGAACGGATAAAAAGTCGAGGGAAAAAAATACATAAAAAATGATGGCCCATGCTTACTATTTTACAAAATAGGCGCAAAGAAAAAAAAAAAGAAACTGTGCAAATTTATAAAAAGGTTTTTATCCATTTTGTGAAGTAAAACGAAAAAAAAAAAAAAAAAAAAAGCTTTAGTATATTTCTCATAACTTGCATTTCTGGCATATTTAACAATTTTTTTATCTGTTATTAATGTTGCAATTTTTCTGTTTCGTTGTCTTTCACTTAGTCTGCAGCTTCGTTAAGTTCACGAATGCACAAAAGAGGGGAAAAAAAAATAAAAAAATAAATAAAAAAAAAGCGCAAAGCTGAAACGAGGAAAAAGCAAACCCTGCAGTGATGCCATTTGTTTCAACGTTTCCTTCTCACTTTGATTTGCAAATTCTTTGCCTCTGCATACTGTTTTTCAAGTTGAGCCCGATGCGCACTTGAGCTTTTCTATTCCGAGGGAAAATTCCTCCCACTTTCTGCTACATTTGTGTGTAGAAAAGATATCACAGGAAAAATGCTACTCCCAGGGACTGCAAATTTGGGACCACACAGTGATTTTCTTATTTGATGGAATTGAACACAATTTTGCAAAATAACCAACGTTTATGCCAACACACATAAGGCGAATGAATCAAAGCAAGATATGTGGTCCGACCGGTGTACGTGTATTCTATGGCATATACATATATACTTTTTATGAACGAACACCAAAAGGGAAATATCCAAACGGAGGAAGGACTCAAAATGTGGTGCTACCTTACCCAGTAGTGTAAAATATGGGGACATGTTTTGACATCATTGGCACATTGTGCCCCTTCAATTGGGGGTTATAATAATTGGAAGAGTTTATATTAATGCCTATTGGGGTGTGGCCCCTTTTGAAGGCTTTTTTTTTTTTCCTCTCAAATGAGAGATGCGATAAAGCGATGTAAGAAGACGAAACAAAATAGTGGAATTAAACACTGGGGTTTGTTGTACTTTATTAAAATATGGCAATAATGCATCGAGGTTATAATAAATAGGTGTGGAGATTGGGCAAGCACATGCGTAAATATATAAAAAAAAAAAAAAAAAAGCGTTTCTCACCTGCAAAATGTGACACCCTTCTTCGACTTTCCACCTGCAAATGGCCCTCTCGTGCAACTTCTGGCCTCATATCCCCGGATCATTTCATATTTCTCAACTCGCCGGACGCACCGTTCAGCTGCTTCTCAATGGCTTCACAATTCAAATCGTTAACGTAGCATTTGTTAATAATGTCATTCACAAAATCGTCCTTTCCCATGGTGTGGAGAGAATTCATTAATTCCTCCAAGCCACACATTTTTTCCACCAGCTTCTCAAAATTCTCGATGTTCAGATGGAGGTTTTTATTATTGATAATCTCGTCTTTGTTTACATTTTTTTCATTCAAGATTTTTAAAAACCCTAGAGAATTCTCATTATCTAATTCGTTAAGGAGGGTCAGCATATCGCACTGTTCACTCTCTATAAGTCTTAGTCTTTTTTCAAGCGATTCTTGTTTTTTCTCAATTTTTATTTGGTCTTCCAATATGAGTGAATACATTTTATCGTAATGAGCCACTTTGTTATATATGTCCAATATTTCATTTGAACAATAATTCATAAAATTGATTTTATTTTTAACAAAGGAGGAGAGGTTACTGATGACGTCAATTATCATTTCTTTGTCCAAGTCCTTCTTAAAGTACGACTCACTTTGTCTTATATTTTTTTCGACGTTCTTTCTGTCTTTTTCTAGCTGTTTTTTTTGCTCCATTTGTAGCTTTTGCATTTTGGCATTTTGTTCAGATAAAAATGGGAAATCTTCAAAATTCATTTCTTTGGTATTTTCATTATTTCGAAGGGTCCCCTTGGTTTCCTTTAGTTGAAAATTAAACGCATATTGCTGCTGGTTATCTGCCGTTTTGTTTTCACTCACCTGATTTATATTTTCAGTCTGTTCAATTTCTTGCTTTTCTGTATTTTTCTCCTCATTCTGTAAATTGTTACTTAAGTACACATTTTTTTTTCGATTTTCTAGCGAAATGAAATTTATCATATTGCCTACCTTGTCCACGTCTTCATCTTCTTTTTGCGCAAAAATTTGGGACTTGTTTTTCGTTTCGTTTTTTGACTTTCCGAAGGAGGGTGCAAACATGGACGAGTTTCCCTTTATGGAGAAGAAGGGGTTGCCACTACTATTGTTAATGCCACTGCTAAAGTTATCATTCTTTTCCGCCCCTCCGGAGAAGAAGCCACCTTTGCCTCCCTCTGGTTGGAAGGCCTTTCCAAAAAGGGACGAAGAATTTGGAAAGGAGATACTGCTCCCCTTTTGAGGGTCTTCATTTTTGACTTCATTTTTCTTGTTCATATCGCCAAAAAGGGAGTTTTGTCCAAGGCCAAAAGTGGACAGCTTGTTTGCGGTCTCGAACATGTCCTTCAGATTTGCGGGGTCACTTGGTTTGGGGAACTCACCCAATTTCGTTAAGTTGCCCAATTTTGTGAAATCGCCCAATTTGCTCTTTTCCCCGAGGTCACTCGACTCCGTCTGATCCTTCGTTTCCTTCTTCTTGGTAAAAGAAAAGGACCAGAATTTTTTCTTGTCATCCGCTTTCGATTCGCTCGTTTTCTCAGTTGCGCCCATGGCGGCGGCATCACTATCTGGAGCTTTTTTAACCTCGGATTTACTTTCCTCATCTGTTTTCTCCTTGGGTTCCTTCGATTCGCTCGATCCGTGGCTGGGCGAAATGTTAAAATTGAAAATGGACGGTTTATGGGAACTGGAGGGTTCCTTCCCCTTTTGCTGTTCATCGGCCGGCTGTTCCTTGTTCTCTTTCTGTTCATTTTTTTGGTCATTCTCGATAGGTTTATCCTTTAAGTTGAAATTTATTTCACCCGGTTCCTGTTCACTGGGTGGGGTTTCCTTTGAACTGGACACTGTGTGCTGTTCATTTTGGGCTTCTTCCTTTTCATCCTTTTTTGCCTTTTCGTTAGTTTCACCATTTTCAGGATTTTCGTCCTGTTTGCCCATTTGACCCTTTTGGTCGGGGGATCCCTCTTCGTTAGTTTCGCTTTTCTCGGCAGAGCTGAACACGAAGTTCGACGTAGCGATTTTATTCTGATCACTCTTTTCCAAACCGGTACCCCGTGGTGCATTTTCCTTTGTGTCACTTTTAAAGAAGGAAGAATCGAAGGGGGTGTTACTTTTGAGGAGATCGGAGGTATTATCCTTCGTTTTCTCAGTTTTTTCATCCTTGTTTGCGGAATCTGTTTGTTCGTTCTGTGTATTTTTCTTTTCATCTTGTGCACTGTCTTTTTCCATGGCGAGGGGTTTGCTCTGTTCTAACGATTCTGTTGTTATTTTTGCTTCATCCAGTTTTTTCGCTTCAGAATGTATTTTCTCTTTTTGCGTTTCTTTTTGCACTTTTTCTTCTTCCGTCTTGACTGGTTTATCAGCACCACTTTGGTTCGACTGACATTCTTGGCCCATTTGGAGAACTTCCTTCTGGGTAGTAGTTCCAGGCTGGTCATTCGGTTTTTCCCCTTTGGTCTGTTCCTCAGGAGCGTTATTCATATTGGCTGCCCCATCAACGGGTTTACTTGCTAAAACGTTATTATGGGAACTTTCCTTATTTTCATTCCCCGTTGTGGTGCCTTTGGCACTCTGGTTATTCGGAAAGAGGGAAAAGGTATTTGAGAAGGCATTGTTTTGCGACATATTACTGCTACTGCTGGTGTTGTTAAAGAGGAATGAATTTTCACTTGACTTGACTTCACCGGACGATTTAAACGAATTGGTGGTGAAAGGATTTTCATTGTTGGTTGTTTTGCTGAACGACGACAAAAAGGGAGTAGTACTTGTGTTGTTAGTCGATTTGAAAATGTCACTTGTACTTGTCTTGGAAAATGAACTAAAAGAGATATTAAAATTGTCAAGGAGTGGAGGAGAGGTACTGTTGTTTGCGCTATTTTTCGTACCAAATAAACTGCCTTCATTTTGATTAAATGGTTTCATACTTTTGTTAAAGTCCTCGAATGTGTTCATTTTATTTGCTGATCCGAGGGTGCTCATGGAGGACATGCCAAAAGGGTTTATCTTCCCTTCATTGTTATTGTTCATGTTAGCACTAGCAAAGAAGGACTTTGTTGTGTTGTTATTATTCAGCATAGATGAAGTGGGGGATTTATCACCCTGTGAAGTGGCTTGTAGGGCCATACTCTGAAATGGGTTTATATTATTTTTTGCAAAAGCACTTGAACTGGATGAAAATCCTCCACTAAATGTTAATTTGTTATTGTTATTATTTGGTTTGTTGTTACTGAAACCGCCTAACGAATTTGCATTCGACGAGTTGGCAAAGATTTGTTTGGCTGCCTCTAACTGTTCCTTTGAGAATAAACCTCCACCTTCTGTGCTGCGATCATCATTTAGTTGACTTCCTAATGCAATGGAGCTGCCTAGGGTACTTTGTTTGAACATACTAGAGCCACTATTGGGGGTATTTCCTACCAGGCTCCTCATGAAACCAGGATAGACATCTTTCTTCGCCGCACTAAACAAATTTTGATTAAAAGCATTCGTGGATGTGTTTGCACTAGGGCTCGAAGTAGTGCTCCCGAACAGGCTATTATTTTTATTTAAATCGTTGGCATTGTTTGAAAAAATGGAATTCCCCTTGTTCAAGTTATCTTGTGAGTTAAGAGTGTTCCCAAAAAGGTTACTGTTTTTGTTCGT